TTCACTGGATGTTTTTCCTTTTTTTTCCTATGAAAGTTGAAGGATAGAAAACTTTCCTATGGTTTTCCTTCCCTCATTTCTTCCTGTGAACCCAAGGCCTCTACTGGTGTCTTGATTCCATTGGATTACCGATTTCTACATTTTTCTTTGAAAATCCTATGAACCAAAGGGCCCTAAATTTGGCATCATCATTTATTTTTGAAGTTGAAATATCTCATGCATTGTGCTTATGTAATTCATATCTATAAACTATTGTTTTTACTATTTGAATTTCATAGTATGTAATCCATATCGCACTGTGTGTGTTGTGCTTATATAATCTATATCAATATGAAACCTGCATTACACTGTTATGAATTAATCTCTTGGGTTTTCAATTAAAGTCATCTTCCACTATTTGTAACCTAATGTTTACTGCTTGAATTTCAAAGGAAGCTATGGAAACTATGCGAGCAGAACCTGTTGCTGATGGGCACGAACTAATGACAAGTGTTGATATTGTTCCCACGGTCCTTTGCCTCTCCCATGACCAAGTCCACTCCCAGCTCAGTGGCAACACCCTTTTTTTTAAAGAATGCTAGTATCCTGATAAGCTCCGTCAGAACAGAGACATCGACAGAGAGAATGCTTTGAGAACTGCTTGTTGCTGAACAGGGAAGTTCCGCTAACCTCGTCGAACAAGTGGATGAACTGAAGAGCAAGACAAAAAAGACTGAAAGGGAGTTTGAGGAGTTCAAGATACAGCAACAGGAGGAGTACAATAAGCTACGTGAGGATATCATGCACTTCAGCTCTTCTTCTAGTAACTCTTAGTCATCAACTCTGTTGGCTTGATGCAGTGAACATTTGTGGTTTGATGTGTGTACTCGTGTGCTGGTTTGATGTGGTGAAACTGTCAGCGGGCTGTTGCTGATGTGTAAACAGTAATTTGTTGTATTTTATTGTCATGCTAAATAATTATGTAGATATCATCGAATAATTATGTAGTCAATCTGTGCAGCAATGACGATCTTGAATTACTTTTATGATGAATTGATTGTTGGGCACGTGGTAGAACCTGGGCAGGCCACATGATCAAATATAAATGCGACACATGGACGAACTAGTGCATGACACGTGAAATAGCCATGGCACAACACTGGGCTAATAAAAATCCAACACGTGGAAGGAAGTCGTCAAGCCATGTGGCCGAATAAAAAACAAAAAGTGGACAAACAGTACCGTGACATGTGGTCGAATAAGAAACGGCCATGTGGACCAATAAAAATATGACACATGGTCCAATGAAGAAATGACACGTGACCCAATCACAACACGACACGTGTGCCAATAGAAAACTGACATGTGGAACAACAGGGGGCCCGACACGTGGTCCATTAAGAACCTAAAACGTGCAAGAACCAGGGATGGCCATGTTGTCCAATAACAAGGTGGCACGTACCAAACCATCCTCAATTCAACCAGCTATAGTAGGCACACGTGGAAAGCATCTCCAATGGAAGCAACCGCTAACTTGGATGCCCCCTTGCCACGCATGCCAAAGCAGTTCTATGACGGTCAGTTTTCGTCATAGATCTATCCACATCTATGACGAATTTCTAGAATCATCATATAAGTTAAGGAATGACGCGACTTCTATGACAAACCGTTTTCCGTCATAAACTCGTCATAAAACTGAAATTATGACGAATTTGGCTCCTTCAGTGAACGAAAGCTATTCGTTGTAGAAGTGGATATTTCTAATAGTGTATGGGGTACCCTACATTCCGTGGAGATCGGTCTCTTATCTTGTATGCTCAAGAATTACACGGGCGCTGATGTGTTTGTCTAGCTATGAAAGCCTAGATTGTCTCGATACTGAGGGCTCCCTGCGTCACATTATATAGGATCTATGGGTACATGTTCAGATCCCGATCAGTTACAAGGAAACATATTGAATCCTATAGGATCTATGGGTACATGTTGGCTTCCAAGTCTCCTCTGTCGGTAGCTTGCTTTTCAAGTCGGTGACATACCCCGTCGGGTTTGGGCTTCATCTTGGACAGCTTTGCCCCCCATCTGTATTGGGTCTTTCTCTAGGCTGTGAGGTACCTTAGGCTCGTAACACCAACAATAGCTCCCATGGACTTGCATGACGAGCTATTTAATAGTTCTATCCATCGGTTACTACCCTAAAGAAACGGTCTTCAGTCCTCTAGATAACGTGCACCATCAAGGTACTGTTTAAAATGAGGTTAAAGACACCTAGGGAACCCAAGGCGCCTCATCTTCCCCACCCTTTCTTGTTACGCTTGCGACAACGAGAATCTTGGGTCTGCACAGATCGATCCACCTACCCCGTCTCAAGGTTCAACTACAAAAGTCTGACGGCACTCCACAAAGCTTAGGTGCTCACATGTCAGACCTAAGAAAGACATCCAAGAGTAACAAACATGTTGAAAACTTGGCTTGATGAAGAACTCAAGTGCTTAAAATGTGGGAATGAAGCTCAAAGCACTCAATATTTCAATATCTAAACCTAACTGACTAATCTTCTCATATCCTTAGCCAATTCTGAGTGGGCTAGATGAACTTGGGCTCCAAGGAGTAGTTTTAAGTTTAGAACAATAGCAAGGCTAAAGAAAGTGGCGAGGGGGTATTTACACCAATAATGGACTTGAGTGGTGACCAAAGAGGGCCAACGGGTGAATTGGGTCAGCAAAGACTTAACTATGTGTACTATTCATCGTCATGTGCTTTATCCGATGGAGAATATTGACCTAGAGTATATAGTACTATTCACCATTAGCTCGTAGTCAGTTCTTCCAGTCGCAATCTTCTCAAGTCATCTGGTGCTCTCAATTGCACCACCGGACCGGACAGCACCTAATTATCCGTTAGATGTTAATTCCTTGCCGCTAGACCTTTCGACACGTGCAATCTTTACACACTTCATCATTTTAACTAGGTTTCTCCATCAGTCTTTGCACCACTTCTTCTATTGCATCCCTAGAACCTATTACAGCATGTCTAACACATCTAACACACAACTTAGTCGTAGTACTTGTGTTGTCATCTAAATCACTATAAAACCATATATGATCGTATATATGGGCACATGATTCTTACCGCCTCTATCATTCTAGGACTATGCTACAGGACAAACAATTTTTGCGATCTTATATTGAACAAATTAATTAAATATTCAAGCAAGAGTATATATGATTATATTCATGGAGGAAAACAAACCGAGAAAAACTATTGGAGGGTCGTCACTCCTTTGCGCTTCATATGAGGTCGACTTCTATGGAGGATGCTGCTCTGCTCCGGCCGTGACACTCGACCTCCTCACTATAAATACCACCTACAGGATCGCTTGAACAGGCAGCCAGCCAGCAGCAAACAGCCTTTCCCCGTTGCCAAAGTAGCAGAGATGGGAGGCCGCAGAACAATCGTGTTGAGCCTAATCCTCGGCTTACTGGCAGCTGCCAATGCATGCCCTTTGATTTCTTTTTTACCTTATCCTCATGGTATGGACCTTTTCAAATGCTTAATCTCGTGCACACGGTTAACAGTCTACTAACATTGCTAAATCTGATGACTGTACACAGTTTACTTTTCTGTGGCGGAGCCACCGCCCGGCCACCCCGGGCGGCCGGCCGGGCTCCTCGCCAAAGTTTAAAAGAAAATTTTCTTTATATCCATGTAGAATTCTGTAATTTTGTAGCTAAATATTTTTGCATAATGAGAATCGCCGGGCTCCTAAAAGTTTCTGGCTCCGCCACTAATTTCTTGACTAAATCATTATCTGCAATCACAAAATTACATTTATTATTATTTTCTGTCTGTGTAATATTTCTCTTCCATTACATGGTGACGCACATACACCACTAAGCACACTTGCGTGCCTGGTGCTACATTTCAAAGTGCATTCATATTAAACAAAATTATCATTTTGAAATTTGTATGTTCTACTGTAGAATCGTGTTGTACAACAAAAGTAATAAGTTCCAAACTGACAATTTTGTTTAATATAAAAATGATGTGTGCACCTTTAATCTTTTTACTCTCCCCGTGTGTATCCATAAACTTCATTGTCATGATGCAAGTGTATAACACTCTTCTTTATGACAGCATACCTCGAGTTGATGCCTTGATGGCCCTATAAATTATTTGTAAGCTAAATTTGCATTTTTTTACAACATTTGAATGTTTTTTGAGCTTATTTGAATGTTAAAATTGGATTATTTTTTAGACGGAGAGAGTACGTTAACGGATTGAATCTGTAGATGAAAATGAACCTGAAGAACATATTGCCGTTGACATTTTTTTCCTTAAGATAATCGTCAAAGTAGAAAGCCCAAACAAAGGTAAGAAAAATGTGTGAATAATGGGGAGGTAAAGAAAATCCTTGATTTTATTGTCTTACCAAAAGTTATCTTTTCAACTATACATGGCCCCTATTTATATTTATAGGTAAAAGTGAATCTACTCGATCCGGGTTGTTTTCCATTTTGCTATTGTTATTACTTCCTACCATTTTCGAAATATTCGGGTGCACACACTCGAGGGCAAAGTGGTTATTTAGATAAATTCAATTTACATTACAGAACTGGTGGTATTTGTTGGCTTCATGTCATCTTCATCGAGAGCTTCCTAGCTAAATCATCAGTAGTGTGGTTATTATTAGTAGGCCAGTGAGATCATTGCAAGCTTAATTCCTAGCTAAATGTATCGACGGATGGATTGATTGATGTGTATGCACAGTGGCCTGGAGCATACTGCGAGGCCAGCGACAATGGTTGCTGCGTGCCCAAGTACGGCTACCCGGCGGAGGATTTCTTCGTCGAGTTCTTCCAAACCTTCGACGTGTCCATTAACAAGCCCGTAGTCCGTTGCAGGAACGGCAGCCCCTTCGATGCTAAAAAGGTTAACTAACTCACCTCTCTCTCTCTCTCTCTCTCTCTCTCTCTCGTCCGTCTATATATTTATTATAAACTTAAACCCCTTAATCAACCACC